TAGATAGATAGATAGATAGATAGATAGATAGATAGATAGATAGATAGATAGATAGATAGATAGACAGATAAATAGATAGATAGATAGATAGATAGCTAGATAGATAGATAGATAGATAGATAGATAGATAGATAGACAGATAAATAGATAGATAGATAGATAGATAGCCAGACAGATAGATGGATGGATGGATGAATGGATAGGTAGATGGGTGGATGGTTGGTGTGTGTGTGCGTGCGTGTGTGTGCGTGCGTGCGTGCGTGCGCGCGCGTATATGTGTAAGCTTACGTTATCAGGTGCTCCACACACAGAAGCAGAGAGCCGGGCGCGGCGAGCGCCATGGTAACGCGTGTCAAACCATTCATCTATAATTCATGATCTCGGGTTCCATAACCTTCCTCCAATAGTGATTGCATCGCAGAACATCACACAGGCGAAGGCGGCAAACAATGCGTACTAATAACACGGTGTTCTCACAGAGGTCCCTTGTGGATTCAACCTAGTAACGAGTATATATGCTCATGCCCTAGTGAGATATCTCGCTCATGATGCGGTATATTACGTCGGTGCTACAAAAGAAACGTGGATGAATGGATTGCGCAACACCTATCAAGCTTATATAAAGTAATTTGGCAGGAATACCTTATTTTTATCCAGTGCCTACGCATAATGCAATATACTATACGGCATTCGTTAACCTGCAATTTTTGTTGAAGTAAAAATACACGTAGCCCTACAGTTCAACGTTTCTTCCTGAAATATGCCATGCCATTATTAGATGCCATGCGCGGATTAATAAGCGCGCCATGCGTTTACCACACTATACGTATACATCTACTACGCGTGCGCGTGGTGTTGCAACCGATGAGTCTATCGTATTTGGATAGCGCCACGTGATATTTCGACCCGGATCTATAGAGCCGTGTAGACTCACGCTGCGTCAGACCACATCTCATCATGGTTGATTCACTCTATCTTTATAATACCTATATGCACACGCACGCACGCACGCACGCACGCACGCACGCACGCACGCACGCACGAAAATACATATATATACAACACACACAGTGCATATATATATATATATATATATATATATATATATCGATAATATCTGGAGCACGCTAACGTATTACTGAATCGTTCGAATACAGCGAGAGCGGTTATAACTTTAGCAACCGTGTGGGAAATCAATCAGTCTGCTAATATCGATAATCACGTATCGAAAATACGCGCCCGACACGCGATGCCTTTATAACGTATAGATCGCACCTATATGCAGACGATGATGACTCATTAATCTAGTCTACATAAGTAATTACACATATGTAACTTCTCGCGGAGTCGTTCTCGCTAGATATTAATCTATAACGATGCGTGGATCCATATTGCAGAGGTTGTTAGCCCCCTCAGGAGTTAGCTTTGTTGTATACCTCGTACTGGAGGCGGCCGGGTGGTATAGGTGAATTATTTATCCTGCGGGGAACTTGTTGACAAAACAAGCTCCCCTCTGCACCCTGCGAATCCCACCGCTCGCTTTGTGCGAGACAACGGCCGCCTAGCATCTGTCTAAACACACGGACCGCACGTATGAATGAATGCCATCGAATTATGATCGGAAGCGGAGTGGCTGAAGAGCTGCGCGTGTTACAGACCCATAGCATAACAGGGGTGAAGCAGGCTATATAATGCCGGTGTTCACACGCGCGCGGTCATATACACTGTTGCCATTGTGCGTATTGTCTTTTGTCCGCGGCGAGGTGTCATCAAGCAACAGATGTGAGGACGACAAACACGACGTAAAATAGACATAAAGAGCCTATAATATTATCATAAGCTGCGTGCATCAGCAACGCGTGGCCTGTGTCTGTTGCGAATATGGTCTAAGCACGTGCATAGGCAGCGTATATGTGCAATATTCACGGTATGTAATCCATTTTCATTATTCTGTATGGTTCTTAATTTCTACGTACGCGGGCTATCGTCGAACCCTTGATTATTGTCGGAAACCTTATTCTATGGATTTAGCGTATACAGCGCTAATATTTCCTATTAAAAAGCTATATGTGCTGTTTAAACCTACGCAGCAGCTTATATGAAGTTACCATAAATATACGCTTGCCTCAGTAAAATGTGTTGGTGTTGAGCTGTTTTAGATTATCCGAATTATTGATGATTGATGATTGGTTTGAATATTTGCTTATTGGTGATTAGCTGATTAAATTTTAGTTATTAATTAGTAATCGGGTTGTTTGTATCTCAGTGATCCATTGGGCATGCTCAGCCTTATAAATATGTAATAATTCATTTATTATCGATAATTATAATAATAATAATTGTTTATTTTAAATATCTCATATTTTTATGTTAATATAAAGGTAATAAAACGATATTGTATATTTATCGCTTCATTTATTCAAACATTACCATCGATAATACATGGACACAGAAATCCGCCCACTTTTAGTTATTATTAGGCCTATACTCAAGCCTAGGTCTTTGGTCTAGGCTCATGCACTTGGCTTTGCTAAGATGATGAAATCACACGTGAGTACAGGTTAATTAGGTCAGTGGTTGGGAGAGTAGAGCGTTGCTCAACTTCTAGTTCGCGATTATTCATCGAAACACTTTCAATCGCATGGTTATATGAACTGAACAGCGCTTATGTTTACTATAGACACCGTTCCTATAGCTACCAGGTGACGGTTCGCTTTACGTCAAGCTATCCAGGTGCGAAGATGGAAATGCGTAGATAGACAGGGAAGCCTTACTAGAGCATTACCTATAAAGTGCTCCACTCAAAATTATCCACACGATGTCGCAGCAGATGGTAAACACTCCCGATATACAAAGACGAGTACAGGACGTATATAAAGGACTAACCATCGAACGCATTATAAAATAATGACGTTTCTCGCTGATTTAATGCGAGTTTTACGATGATGCAATGATGGCTGCATCGCGGAGCATAAATCTTTCATAACGAAATGTTAATTAAAGCAGAATGTTGTTGAATTCATTAAGCGTTCCCATGACAATATCGAGCGAATTTCACGACTCTGGCTTTATTGATAAACAGAAACTGGATATAATCACACTGCAATAGGTCTCCCACCACCACCACCGGCCCTTGCCGAGAAAGATTTAGTGGTATTCAAACGACTGTGTTGAGTCAGTTTCGAGTAGGCATGCAGTGGTGCCCACCAAATGACAGGCCTCTTGTCCGCGTGCAGCGTGTAATTACTACGAACTATAAACTACTAAGCTTCCACTAATTGCCGACTATTTGTCCGACCATATAATACTTCGGGTCATTGTCGCTAGAGGTCGTACTCGTTAAGGCATGCTCACATTGCCTTCATGTAACCATAAATCTATAATCTACGCACACTATTACCGAGCGTGACGAAGTGTTCATAACGAAGGTTAAAATGTCTATAATCGAGTGAAGCGACATGCAAACACGTTAATTCTTATAGTGGCACACGAGTAGCTCGACGCTTTTGTCGCGTGAATTAATTTTTTCACGTGAACTCTATTGAATTGTGAGGCATGCGCAACAGTGTGTTGCTTAAATTAATGTGTGTGTGTGTGTGTGTGTATTTGTGTGACACACACTACCAGGGTGCAACAGCTGCAGTTAACAACAGATTAATTAATGCGCCTCTGCTGAACACGCATCGTGTTTTCCCACTTTCCTATACCATCAGCGAAGCGATATACGTTGTGGTATCGCCCATCGCTGCCCCGTATATCATTGTCTCTCGTTTACATATCGTATATCATATGTTCGTTTCGTTTATGTTTGTTATGTTCGTTATGTTCGTTATGTTCGTTATGTTCGTTATGTTCGTTATGTTCGTTATGTTCGTTATGTTCGTTATGTTACGTTTATGTTCGTTTATGTTCGTTATGTTCGTCGATATGTTCATATCGTTTACATATCGTATACATATGTTTACATCTCTCGTATATCATTGTCTCTCGTTACCCATGCCCAAATACACAACTTATACCAGCACAACATCACCACTACCCACTAGCTTTTGTACTAGCGTATCATCAGCTAACTCTTACCTGTGTGTTATCATCTTACGTTTTCCGGTATATAACGTATGCGTTAATGCGGAAAACGTAAACTATGCAACCACGAGCAATGTTAGAGAGATCGGGTCTTGTTGTTTACACTTGTTTGGCAAAATGGGCCCGGGGTTACTATTATTTGAGGCTAGTTACTGTTATTACTTTTATAGATTAGGAGCTTAAAGTGAATACATCGTGGAAAAAATATAACTATCAGTCTCCATACTTCTATTTTCTATTGTGCTATAATACGTGCATACCTAAATGCTCACGAGTGTGCGGTTACAGCAAACATGTATACTAACCATATACGCCAGAGGTATCCACGTGAGCTGTGCCACGAGCCTAACAATGTTCGTTAGTTTCCGGTTTTCGCTGGTGTGTGTTCAGGTATTCCTTGACGCACGGCGATACGTGACACCAGTGCCACATATTGAACGCGCCGACCAGCGCAGAATCAATCGATATATCGATCAATCGATGCACGTTATATCCTTATCGATATTGAAGTCCTCGCAGCGTCTTGATGAAGTAATCAGAAGGGATTCTTCTACTGTCGTCTTCGGTCGTGTGAGGTTTACGTGTCCCTACATGCCATCGCATACATCGTGGCAATCTCTACATGCCGTGTACATGTACGCCCATATACCGAGCCACTGTAACCCGAATCCTCGCGTTTATATATATAGTTGTCGTGTTTCGGATCACCTCGAGATCGCATCGCAGAACGAGTAAGACGATGAGAGTCGGGCGCTCGTCGTTTTCGCTCGATGTGACACGGGGAGCAGGAGTTAGTCGCGTGAATCTAGGACGACGTAGCTCGCCGGAGTGGACGCGCGGCTGCTGCCACTGATGCTGCGACTGCTGCTGCTATTGCTACTGCTGCTACGGTTACTGCGGCTACTACTGCTAATACTGCTGCTAGTGCTGCTGCTGCCACTGCTGCCTTTTCGGCTCCGAGCCAGCGATCGCCCTGCACGCGTCGTCTGCATAATTTATACCGATGCCTTTAATTGCGGCCGACGTGCGCATGCGCGCAGGTGTCGCGTAGGGACCGTTGTCAAGTGCGCACCGAGACGTGGTAAGTGTGCGAGAGATCGGCAGACAGAGAATGAATCCATACGTGTCGCGCCCACCTCCGGTGGCTTTGCTAATGATATGTACCTAATAACAGATGCGAAGACGCAGCGGGATGCCTCATGACGCAGGTACACATGGCGGTAACCTCAGTGAGGATTACAGTGCTGTATGCGTTATTGGTATAATGGCCGTCTTCCTCTGACGTAGCATAGCGCAGGTGATAGCGGTGAATTGCACAGCTTGCTTTATACAGTCGTAAAATAGAGCAATTATTATTGTAAAGTTGTAAACGCTAAATATACAGTCGAATTAATGAAAAAGCCGTTATAATTATGCATATAGATAGAGAGCGAGTGAAATTGTCGTTGCAAAAAGGGCTAATTGTTTTTCTTAATTAATAAATTACCAAGGAGCGCCAATTTTTTGTTATAAATGATGCGCTTGTGGGTATATTTAGGCATGGACTGTATTTACAAAATTAATTATGTTCGAGAGGTATTATAAGACACTTATGTGTATATTTATGTGAATAAATATTTCGAAAATACTCGCCCTATTCCTTCCTATATCAGTAAAAGTTCACGTAGATGGACGTATTATTAAAAACATGTTTTATTGAAAATAATATACGTCGCCCTAACAGCTCGTAGGCCTACTTTAAGTTGCGCTTATGATGTGATAAGAATTGTATTATGGAATATTTGAAAAATTGTGAATAGTGCATATTTGTGCGGTTTTCTCGCTTCTTAAGGCTAACGCTCCATTAAGAGTGTTCCCAACTTTGATATCATTAATGCTAATGATTAATGATTGATAATCCTAACCCTAACCCTAACCCTAACCCTAACCTAACCTATAACATAACCCTAACCATTAATGACATTAAAGTTGGGAACACTCCTAATGGAGTATCACCCCTTCTTAATCTCCATATGCGCCCTACGTTATCATTTTTCCCCTCTGATTGTCCGTTTTTATTTCCTATTAAACTATAATTTTAATCGTTGAGATTACCCCCAAGGAGCCGTAGAAACAAGTATTTATGACATCATAAGTATAAAATGTCATAACCTTTGAAGCCAAGTGTTGTGCAAGAGGTATGACATATTAGACATGTGATTGCCATAACTAATTACGAAGATTCTCACAACGAACCCCTTGATTTCTGATAATCTAAAACTCGAATTAGAACAATCACTCGTTCAGCGCCATTGTACATCGTTGCCATGTTTACGTCGTCATGGTACTCTTAATCGCGGAAGAAGAAACACGCAGAACTGTAGAAGCATGTGAGGAGCAACGATGTAAAGGTATATAGGCGCTGGCCAGCGAGGATCAATCGACTGGACATAGATATTCAACGGCAGAAGGAGATTCGGGAAAAGATCATCAACGTGGGTCCACGGGCGAGTAAGGTGAAGATGTCGCGCTTGCTTAGATGACAGCCTTCCCTGTCGCGGCTTCTCTCTCCATCCGTCCACACAATGCAACGCACGTACAGAAAGGAGCACGCGGTACGAAAGCCGAGGCTGCCTGCTCCGTCGGCGCGACCAAAAGCAGCAACAGGCGTTACCGCCGGCGCCAAGTCCGCCGCGAAGAATCTGTCGAATGCGGAGAAAACTCCATCGAGAATTCCAACGGCCAGACGAGGCGTGCCCGCACACAAGCATGCGACAAGTAAAGCGGCATCGTCAGCCGTGAGCCGCACTGCAAGTGTGCCTAGGGTCGCCGTCACTCACGGATCACTTCCCATCGGCGTAGAGGGAGAGCCCAGGGTGGATGTGTCGATCGAACACTGCGCTCACAGGCTATTCGAAGGTATATCAGGTAGGCGGCTGGCGGGCGTTGTCTAGATTCGTGGAGCACAGTGCGTTAAAAAAATTAAAAGGATAATTAACACGTCAGATATATGTAACTAAAGATATCACAATATATAATTTGACAGAGAGTGCACAGGAGGGGCGAGTCAATTGATATTTTTATCACAGTGGATATACGTGTAAATTGCGGCCTCGGTTGACGAAGATGGATACGATTACTAACACAAAGCAAGAATATAGAATAATAAAATAATGCCTTCATATTGGACGGCGTATGATTACACAAGGACATGCTCATGGACGTAGTCACGCACGCGCTTATTTATAATCATTTATATTTATTAATGGTAATCAATTTAACGTATAACAAGTAATGTGATATCAATACACATGCTTGTTAACAAATAAAACGAGTCGATATATTTCGACAGCAAGTGATAACCTGAACATATATAATATAATATAATAGTAGTTATAATAATATAATATATATAATATAATACATGATATAATAATACTATAATATAATATATGATATAATATATATATAATATAATATAATATAATTATAATGTAATGAAGATATAATATACATATAATATAATATAATATAACCTATCATGAATATAATAGATTAATATCGATATCATATAATCATAATATAGATATACATATAGATATAATATCGATATAATATAATATGAATATAATATAATCCAGTATATATAATAATAATATAATATAACATAATATAGTGTAATGCAAAATAGTAGTATGCAATTACTCGAGTACCACCGCACCCACAGATCTGTGGCAAGATGGCGCGCTCTGTGACGTAATTCTCAAGGTCGACGACAGGCAGTTTCCGGCTCACAGGCTCCTCCTGGCGGCCAGCAGCGAATACTTCAAGCAGTTGTTTCTCAACAAGGACCTTTCGGCGAACGATCAGTTCGAGATCAGTTTGAGGGGCGTGAGCGGTGACGCAGTCGACTTGTTATTGAGAGGATTGTACACGGGGAATATTCCCTTATATGAAAGGTATAGTAAATGTACACATGTTAACCCTAACTCCATCCCTAATCCGGACACGAACTCTGACTATAACTGTAACTAAAACCATAATTCCAACCCTAATCCTGACTCTAACCATATAACCCTAGCTCTAATCGAAACCATAACTCTAACCAAGGTCTTATCCCTAACCCTAACCCTAATAGCAGAAAAAATACTAGTGATTAAATAATGGTAGGTATGCGGAGGAAGGCACACAATCACAAATTTAGAGAAACAGATATAGAGACTTCTACGAGTGACAGCATACCTACAGATAATTATAGGCCTAATAATAATAATAATAATAATAATAAATAAATAATAATAATAAATAATAATCATAATCATAATCATAATCATCATCATCATCATCATCATCATCATCATTATCATCATCATTATCATTATCATCATCATCATCATCATCATCATTATCATCATCATCATCATCGTAAGGTATAGTAACATCAGATGTGATGATAGAAACAACAAATATATAACGCAATGCGTTTACTTGCCCATGACTATGCCGCCGCGCAATATAGTTGAACACGGGTTATTGAAAAATTCTGTTTACGTTCTTCACATTCTAATGACATTCCGCTCTTCAAATGAAATGTAGCTGCGCTATACATTAGCTATAGTAGTGCATCAATATTTTATGGTTAACGCGAAAAATCTGACAAACTTCATTTCTCTGGATCGGCAATCGCAAAGTAATGGAAAGCTGATTACACTTCGTGCTGACGTGGAAACAACGAAAGTAAACAGTAAAAAACCCGTAAAAGCTCATAGGGGAATTTTTCCATCTCATTACTAATCCAGGGTAATAAATAAAAGCCGCTAAGCGATATTGTTTCAGCAAGAAAGTCTGGACTCTTGGGGATTCGTGGCTCGTGTACGGAAAAGACATGTACTAAACATCCCAGCCATTTTCTATTAATTCAATTCAGTTAAAACAACTGAACACAATCGATCGGGTGAGAACTAAATTAATGTGGCAATGATGCGCCAAACGATACCGCACTGTGCACGCGTTGCAATACTGCACTGTGCATGTCTGTGTGTGTGTGTGGGGGTGGGGGGGTGTCATTGGCGCAAATGCCACGTGGACACGGGGGAGACGCCCCCCCCCACTTTTCGAAGGGTGGGGGACATAATATCAAAATCCCCCCAGGTTTTTGAACATGTGCTTCTGCATAATTATAAGCCTCTTCTATAATATTATTATTTTGTGCTTGTCTCCACTAAATGAACAAAATAGAAAGTATAAAAAATGACTCAATTGATAGCCTAAACTGAATACAGAAACCGCGACCGTATACTGCTGCTAGGGGGCCTAGGTAGAGAATATTGAAAGTAATTGCCAGTCTCGAGTTATTCCATATCCAATCGGACAAGCATGCACATGGATTTAACGTAGACTTGTAATATGTAAGGCCAGTACGCGCGCGCTCGCTGGCTCTCCAGTAGCTATTGATATCTGTAATAGATATATGTACATTCGTATATATATTATATACACATATCGTATATATTACGTACTATTATTTAGGTCGTGCTGCACGCCAAAAGCGGTGCTCGCGCATGCGCACTATCTCTCGTGAAGATTAATATTTTGCAAACATTGTGAATTTCCAATGAAGAGGGGTTATCCTAGCATAGATTTATATGATAACATTTCATCAGTAGACCTCACTTCAGAAATAGCAAGCAATCCTTGCATGTAAGGTCCCCGCTGCATAAACCATTAAGTACATAACCTGGCTACGTTACTGTTTCAGCGCATGCGAAATATCTCACGAGAGGAGTTTTATATTGTGATGAAATGCATTTAGTATGGTTAGGGGATATCTCAACATAGGTTTCTGTAATAAATTATTATCAGTAGACCTGTGTTTATAGTTAGGAGAGCGCCCTAGCGTGTATAGGGTGCAAAATTCTACATTATTCCCGCCCGTCCTTCTCTTTGTTTCCATTGTCGCACGCTCAGTCTCCTTCTCCTTCCACCGCCCCTGGACTGTATTTCCTGCCACCTTCCCTCAGTTTCCCACCCCTCTCTCCTGTAGCAACCTATATTTACGTACTTTTTCTTTAGCCGTACTGCACGTCTGAACGGTGCTCGCGCATGCGCAATATCTCCCGAGAAGAAGAATATTTTGCAACAATTATTTTCCGCGAAAATTTCTGACACCAACATTCTATAACAAATATAATTGTTCACTTTTACTTAATTATCAAATTAATTAATTAATTATTTATTTATTTTAATTATTTTTTCAATTATTCGTGACGATATTTTATTTTCTGTACTGATTTTACTTCCTAACTGACATCGCCTTATCATGTACTGACGTCACACATGACATTGTCAGGTACCTATTAGACATTCTTGCGGCCAGCCGACATCTAAAGCTACAGAGCATCACCAGCGCCGTCGAGAAGCACATTCTCAGCTCTCTGTGCGTCGACAACTGTCTTCGTCGACTGCCGATGTGCTTCAGTCACGGTCTGAACGCGGCCGTCGGCCGAGCACTCGAGATCGCTGCGGCCAACTTCGACGAGGTAAGCGATCTGAGCGACTTCACCGCGCTCAGTCCGGAGTGCGTGCTGGCGCTGCTGCAGCGGGACGACCTCTGCTGCGACAACGAGCTGCACGTGTTCCGCAAGGCGGCGCTGTGGATACAGAGCGACATCGTCGGCAGGCTGCGCGTCGCCGACGGCGTGCTGGCGACCGTGCGGCTGCCGCTCATACCGCCGCACGACCTCGTCGATCACGTCGAGACGGTCGAGTTCGTCATGGCGATCCCGGCGTGCCAGGACCTTGTCAAGGAGGCGCTGCACTACCACTGCATTCCGGCGCGTCAGAGCATACTGCAGTCGCCGCGCACCGTGCCGCGGCATCGCGCGCGCCACACGGGCATCGCGGCGGTAGGTGGCGCCCCGCGTCTCAAATCCGAGCCGCCGAATCCGGACGTGATGTTCTACGCGCTCGACACGGGCGAGTGGAGCTTCCTATGCAAGGTGAAGCATCCGTGCCACCATCACGCCGTCGCCACGCTCGGCGGCTTCCTTTATATCGCCGGCGGCGAGGCGACCAACGAGCAGGAGGCGCCGCTGAGCAGGGTACACCGCTACGACACGCGCACGGGGAAGTGGCTGCAGGTTGCGAGCATGCGCAGACCGCGAGAGAGCTTCCAGTTGGTAGCGCTCTACGGCATGCTGTACGCCGTCGGCGGTCGCCTCAACCAGGAGGAGTCGCTCGCCGACGTCGAGTGCTACAACCCGGCGACGGACACGTGGGAGGACGTCGCTTCGCTGAGTTCGGCCCGCCGCAGCGTCGCCGTCGCCGCGCACAGCGGAAGGTTGTACGCCGTCGGCGGCTCTGGCAACCGCATGATCTCCAGCAAAGTGGAGCGCTACAACCCGACGACGAACCAGTGGGAGAGCAGGCGCCCTCTGGCGCGACCGCGCTTCTTCGCGCAGCTCGCCTCCGTCGGCAGCCGACTCTACCTCGTCGGTGGCGCCACCGTCGACGAGGCGGGCAACCTTGTGTGCGCGCGCACCGTCGAGTGCTATTCGCCGGCGAGCGACACCTGGACGGAAGTCGCCCCGATGCTGGTGCCGCGCGCCGAGGCGGGCCTCGTTGCCATTGGCAACATGATCTACGTACTCGGCGGTTATTCGTGGGACACGCGACAGAGACTCAGCTCCGTGGAGCGATACGACACGGAGGCCGACGCGTGGACGGCTGTCAGTGAGATTAGCAGACCCTACACGGGTATAGGTGGCGCTATGCTGACGCTGTACGAGCGCACCGACGGTGGCAGCAGCTTCGCATTTCCGAGTTCGGTTCACGTCGCTTCAGGTAAGGCGGCGTCGGCAGCCGATAGGAACGTGGCGACGGCGTCGACGAACAACGACGAGTGGGTGATCAACTCGCGCATCCTGCAGGCGCAGCCCGAGGACACGCGAGATGGTGATGTCACTGCAGGCGAAATCACATCACCCGTGCTGCCATCTATATGAACTCGGAGTAGGAATTAGTTGCACATTCCGCGATGACGCAAATTAGGCTGCTTGTGAGTCGCCAACTGATGCCTCGCTAAAAGCCTGCTTCACATTTCCAAAAAAAAGAACGAAATTACTAGTATAACTTTGGCATAGGCCTACTTTATTGGCAGCTTAGGGAAGAAGGAAAATTAGGAACGTAGCAACTCACTGAAGGAACAGATTAATTTGAAGACACACTCAATCAATGTTTTCATTTTTACTGACCCCGTTTAAAATTATATATATATATATATATATATATATACTTATAAAGTTCTGTTTTCCAAATGCAAGTTAAATTACACAGCGAATATTGAAATGAAAACAGCTGGATACATAACTATATGCATAATTATGTCTCAGTTATTGTCTTCAATATTTTTTGTATATATATATATATTATATTATATATATATATATTATATATAGGCGAGAGGGGGAGAGAAGGGGAGAAGCATTACAATTAAACTGCATATAGATTGTAGATAATTATATATATACATAAAAGTTCATGGTGTGCGTGTTTGTTTGTTTGTGTTGTTTGTTGTTGTGTGTGTGTGTGTGTGTGTGTGTGTGTGTGTGTGTGTGTGGTGTGTGTGTGTGTGTGTGTGTGTGTGTGTGTGTGTGTGTGTGTGTGTGTGTGTGTGTGTGTGTGTGTGTGTGTGTGTGTGTGCGTGCGTGCGTGTGTGTGCATGCGTGTGTCACAACAGTCAGTGAAAAGCTATGAAATACAACTAAAACTTTATTACATGCAATATGCACTCATATATTTCTGTTATCTGACTAATACTATAGCATAAATGCATAAGGAATTCTCAATCGTGCCGTTTATGTTTTGACCACTATAACGCGTTGTAGTTAATATGAGCGTTTAGGACACATTGCGTAGCATGCGAATTTTCGCCTAGGGGCGCCATCTATTGAGGAAAATCGGTCCTGAAAATGCAGGAATACCGTTATTCTACTGCCATTGTAATGTTTCATGTGTGGACAATAATAGTTGTAACGTCTAGTTATCATCCAGTGTTGTATGTCGCCTTAAGGGCATGTATCTCTTTACGGGGGTTTATGGCTCTGTCTCTTCCTTTTTTGAAGGTAGACCGACTACCACGGCTGGCTCCTAGATGTAGGTCTGGATCTATTGTGTGTCTGTACCCATCTATATATGTAGCGTGGAATATCGTATCGTAGACAGTAGTGACAGTGTACACATACCAAGCTGGAGTCGGAGTCTCTCTCGTTCTACTCGAAACCTCTGTGTTTTATCCGTCTCTGCCCCCCCCTCGACCTGTTTCTGCGTTTATTGTCAAGGTTTGTTGCCCCCTTGACCGGTCGCCAGTACCGTCATTAAGGTGTACCTTAATGATGGCTGGTCGACCATTTTAGCTGTGTTCTTGGGTAGAGTGAATGCGTTCGTATCATTTTATACTGCTTACTGTCAAACGTTAATTTATGTGTCCCGCTCTTGAGTATGCGGGTTGTCTGGTGGGGCCATCGCCGGTCGTGCCTGAACGATTGTATGTGCTTTTTCTCTACCGTTCTCACGGTACCACATTTCTCTACTACATATATACGCTACGTTTACATATTTTCCTGCTTACCCTGAATCCATCTTGATGGACCCTTAAAATAGAAAGACGCTATTAGTTATGCCCTATCTGCTATAATCTGTAGGTATGTATAGTATAATTTCTACAACAACAAAAAATACATTTCAATACTTTCTGGACATAATTATAAGCGAACACAAATATTTGACCTGGATGTGTGGAGTATGGTGGAATAGATTAGATCATGAGTGCACGTCAAGTATGTGCTAAGAGGAATCACATTTCGTTAATAGAGAAGCATGCTCGTGATAACTTCTGCATCAAAAATCTGGATTCTCTTTGATAAGTGCAAGGAGCCCAATCTCATGAATATCGCAATCACACGCAACGCCGAGTGAAAATATGTGCACATTTCTCTGCCGTTGGTCAGCGCTAGTGTTGCGCAAACTGATTTAATACACGTGTCGAACGAAATATATACTTATACAACTTTGTTGAAATTAAGTACGTATAGAATACATATCCCATAGTGCAGATTAAGATCGAAATGAATTCATCCTACTGCTAATATATTAAATATCGGATCTATAATAGAGTCCGAGCTGTCTGTGCACTATAGCCTAGTATCTCCTCATTTTTCGATTATATATAATTATATATTTAAAATATAGATAACATGTTCGTGAGAAATGTAATATGAAAAACCTAGATTTTTTTGGCTTTCTTTTGTGATTGCAATGCGCCCGATCGTCTCAACATCTCTGTTCACCTGCTACGCCGAGTGATATTATGTGCAATGTTTTACCGTTGGTCGGCGCTCGTGTCGCGCCTGAGATGTAGTAGAATCTGAATGCTGAATTAGTGGGGCGGATAATATGTCTGAGGTATGTATTCACTTCTGGAAAGAAGCATGAAAATTTGCCCTATGGGGTTTTTGAGTATGCCGATTTCAAAATTTGCGGGAAACACGATGTCACTCCAACGTTTCCCGCCAAAAAATCATAAATTAAAATGGCCGCCAGAAAACATGTTTTTGCCCATAAATCAGCTGTAATTAAGTGCCCCGATTACCATGATCTTGGTGTCTATACCTATGTTTTTGAAGTCAGAGAATGCAATAAAACACGTCAAATATCATAAGATATATCTTCCCGCCAAAAAGTTGGTGAAAATTTAAAATGTCCGCCACAAAACACAGTTTTGCCCATAAATCAGCTGTAAATGCCCCAAGTACCATGATCTTGGTCTTTATACATATGTATTTGAGGTCAATGAACCTCATAGGACGAGTATAGAACATGTGATCTATCATAACATCTTCCCGCCAAAAAAAAAAATCCAAAACGGCTGCCACAAACGCATTTCTTTGCCATAAAATGGCTATACGTGCCACAATTACGAGGATCTAGGTATCTATACCTGTTTTTATGTCAAGGAACCTGATGGAAAACATGAAATATCCTAACATACATCTTCAAATTAAACAAATGCAATATAAAATGTTTTTAGGTCAAAGAATTCGGTAGAACACATGTGAAAATTCATGATGAAAACTTAAAAATAATGCCATCTATACTTCAGTTCATAATTTCTGTTACACTTTGGAAGGTACGCCTGCGCGCCCGCCAAAACGTCGTTTCATCAGATTTCATGAAGACGCAGTGCACGCAATAGAAGGCACGCGCGTATGCCGTGTAAAAGCAATCCAATGGTGTGTCATGTATTATGTTAAAACATTAAATTATCTCTGTCAGTATCTCATATGCTCAGATTTGCTTGCTTATTCTCTGTTACACTGCCCTGAACAGAAGCACAACTGTGTACACTCAAGATTTGCTTTGACACATTTGATTTTTTGCATCCACATTTTAACAGTTTCTGACTAGCTTTGGCTGCCTCTGGAAGAGTGGTCCAGCATGGAGTCCATGGGGGAATCATCTGTCACTTTCTCCCAGCCCCATAAATCTGGCGATGAAACTTCAGGGTCTCCTGTAAGTGACTGTCCCCAGATGTGTCCTGCCTAACAAAACGCCCTTTTCACATGCTGTTCCAGGGCATGCAACGTTGGAGGAATGTTTTTCATCTTACGGTTTTGAATGAACAACTGCTTCCTGGCTTCATTCACATGGCTGAGTGCTGATGTTCACTGATACAAGAGAACGACATATTTCTCTATTTGTTACACGTCGTCGGGGGATACCTGGCTTGGAGCATGGGATAACCGAGCAAAAATCGGTTTGAGATGAGGCATATTGCACCAAACAGCCCAAGCTGTTCTCTTTCCAATTCCATGGAAGGCAGAAACAGTATCACATCCTGATATTGCGTGGAAGAATAGAGGACCCCATAATGCATCGTTGCCTAATTCAGCTGCAATTATGTGGTACTGAATGTAACGTAGTTTAGTACACCGACCAAATGTTTCACAGTCCTGTAAAACACTTGACACTGCAATTGCGATAACCACCACATCAGTATCTGTTGCATGTATCATCAGCTTGGTAAACCCATGATGGAATGAATGGGAAGCATGAAACAGGAGCCATGTGTCTGCTTCTTCGTGAGTGCAGAACAAATCTGACAGGTCAGCTATTGGAGATGATACAGCATTCTGGTCATGTGTGGAGATCACTAGCTTCTGTGGAGGAGGTTGAAACTCGTGTATTGCATTGGCTAGAAGTTGCAACAGGCTGTCTTTGTTTGCATCACAGCAAAAGAAGTTCTTCCAGTTAACAGGAATCTTGGTGTTATTGTCCACCCGGAAATAATTACCAGATCCACGGTTCTGTCGTGTTTGTGCCTTTAGGCTGTCCTCCCTGTAGACATCCCAGACAACATCTACGCGAACAATGTCTTGTAGCATGCGTTCTATATAGGGAAATAACACCAATTGTGAATAGTTCTGGAATGTTTTGACAGAAAGTTGGGACTTCTTTGGGGCAAGCATGTGCACAATGGCAGCACCGTCAACAATTTTGACCTCCACATTTGGAACAGATTCCGGTTGTGGTACCAAGCATTTCATCAAGTCAGATTTGCTTGTTTGGTGCATGATACCATTTGACGCCAACGATGGAGACCAAGCATGATTTTCATGTGCGAAGAAAGTATCCATATCACTTTCTCTAACTTGACACGATATATACAGCTGTGAGAAGAGATGAACATCATTGTGCAGGTTGGAGATATTGGAAGTGGACTTCGCAGGTTTCTATCCTGAACTAGAATTCAACAGAAGCAGATTGATCCTATGTATGGTGTCATTGAATGCAGTGATGTTGTAGTATTTATAGTGTTTATATAAATTTCTAGTACTGTGTTTTGCCTATGTCTTCTGCGGACCTTATAGTATCTACCACACTATCGGACATTATCTGTTTGGTATCAAGTAAGTCTTCTGTACACTTGGTATTTGTTCATGGTAGC